TAAGGAATCAGGAGATAAATAATAGGTTCATTGCATTCTAGAGTTATGCCGAAGATTGTTAGTAACCTCTCCTCTCTCTGGTCTATCTATCCCTCATCTCTTTTTCTTCTGTGAATCAGCCTCCCCCTTATCCCTTCTTTCTGTTACTCTCCTCGTTTATGTTAAAGTCTTATCTTTTTATTCTCTAATTCTATGTAATGGGTTTCCATTAATGAAATATCAATCATAATTCCTATTTGTAATTGTGTTCTTTGAGAAGTTCATAACATTAACAAAAAGATAAGAACTGAATATATGCTACCTAAGTGAAGAATGTGATGCTTACCAGAGTTTTGGAGTGAATTCAAGCAACTTAAATATTGAAATGACGGATTTACAAGGTCAGATCTGGGGCGCCGACAAAGGAACATAATGCTTGGATGGTGGAGGGAGAACACAGGTCAGTAACTGTTTAGCTTCAGTCTACTGTGCAATATTAAGCTACATGTCTTTTTCTTATGTGCTTACAAGAAACTCATGAGTATATATGTTCTGTGTCAGAGGTTACTCCAGATTATTTGTTTTAGCCTATGTCATGTTTCCGTCACCTTTTTGTGTGTGTGCATCCACCATATAAATGACTAAGAAAATATTGCACTTAATTGATTAGTAGGTTATAAATAAGTTAATAATGTAATCAGTTGTTGGAGGCTTATGAGTTTATAACATGGATAGTTGACGCTTTCTTACTTCACAAAAGTATGATACAGTTTTTCTGCATTGCAATTTGAGTAGTCTACCCAGTCTAGATAGTCACGTTGTCTAACTTATTGTCACGACCTAAATTTTCTACTGTCGGGATCCTAATGACGCCTAACATTGTATTCGCTAGGCAAGCCAACGTTTCAGAATATCATACCTTTTTCCTTTATCTTTCAAATATTTAAGACTTAAAAAAATAAACCAGTGAAACAAATGCGAAAGAAAATAATATAAAAGCTTAACTTTACACAATAACGAAAACCAAAGTAACATCCACCCAGAACTGGTGTCACAATCTCAAGGACCATCTACGAATACTATAAATAATAGTCTGAACAAAGAAATACACATCTGTCTCGGAAATAGATAAAACAGAAAGGAAACATGATAGAAGGGGACGCCAAGGCCTGCGGACGCCTGCAGGACTACCTCGGGTCTCCACTGGACTGAAGGCAGCAACCTCGAACTACGGTCCGTATGGTCCAGCACTGGGATCTGCACAAAAAGTGCAGAGTGTAGTATCAGTACAACCGACCCCATGTACTGGTAAGTGTCGAGTCTAACCTCGACGAAGTAGTGACGAGGCTACGGCGGGGCATAACAGTATATAAATATAGCCTGCAATAGTTTATAATAACAGAACGGAGGTATAGAATGAAAAATAACCGGAACTTGCATTAAAGAAACACAGGACTCAACCATTCTACTAGTATCCAGCTATAACCAATCCTTAGGGAGTTTCCAATATTCAGTAATAGACTTCAACAGAAATAAATGCCAAAAATCATAACTGATGCGGCATGCATCTCGATCCCACCATATAAATAATAACAGTATCAATATCCCAACAATAACAGTATCAATATTCTCCCTTATTGTTGCGGCGCGCAACCCGATCCCACCTGTCCTCCCTTATTACTCCTCAACACATATCACCCTTATTCCTCCTGTTGCGGCGTGCAACCCGATCCCACCAGACAATCACAATTCTCCCTTATTCCTCCTTGTTGCGGCGTGCAACCCGATCCCAACATATATATATATATATATATATATATATATATATATTAACACCAATCACAAAGAATAAATACATGGTGTTTCACAAGTAAACTCAATTTCCATAATTCTTATACTTCAAACAACACAGTAGAATATTGCTACGATTATGAAAGTTCACTCATGAAAACAAATCAGCGAGACCAACTAATGTGCACCATAAGGCACCAATGAATCCATATAATCCAACGGGATAATAAAATGAA